TAAATTTCTCGAAAATACGGAGAGAAGAAAATTATATTAAATTTAAGTCTATGTGGCATTTCCAGCCATCTAGAAGTGCCATATTCTGAGAGTTTGGGGCCAGCAACTATGAAAGCTCGCTCCCCACAAGACTTCAGCTCAGCATGCAGGTATAGCGTAGTTCAGAATTCTGAAATGTTCTTGGGGGAGTGATTGTGTAGAGGTTTGTAAGTAATGTGAGGTGTGACAAGCAACCAATAAAGGGTGTCAACCAAACGAGCAGCGATTTTAAGTCGAATCTGTACCCTCCTGATCAATGCATTAGCAAGACCAGCCAGGACACCATTACCTGTACAATAGTCCAGTCTAGATGTATTAGCTTTGAGGAAACATATCATTACTTTTACTCTTGCAAAATTGTGCGATTGGACATAGACCAAGCTGAGAGTGGATATAATTTGATGTCTCGTGGATCCCTTACTAGAAAATGGTAGGACGACTAATTTTCCACTTCTGAAATGGCAAAACTCTCCGTGTCTAGGGGTACATTCCCAAGGCCCTAGACAGTCCACAATTTGTCAGAGGAGATTTCGTTTTTGATTTACACTGTAGTACTGTAAAATTTTCTTTAGGAAGCCTAGTTGATTATAAATTCTTTGGAACCCCTACAATACAGAAGCTGCAATCCAACCAGATCTGACCCCATACCCCACGACCACCCAATGACAAACCTGGATACAACCCTGTGTAGTGAGAATGTATAGACAAAATCAGTGAATGTAGTGGCTTCATGGAAGCCACTACACTACTATTAATAATAGGTCCATGGTTAAATGCTTCAAATTTACATACCGTAATTAGGAAGTATACGTTTTATCTTTGGAGTTTCAAGGCAGCGGTGGGCGTAATAAAATAAAGACTTTTTTTTTATAAATTTCCACTTTTTCGTGGCGACTGGTGCGCTAATTGGCAAAAAATAAAATGATATATAAAAAAAAAATCAAATATTTGTAATAGGTGGGTTTGCTAAACAAGGTATTAAAAAAGTCTTATCTTAACTGTACACTAGTTTTTTTTGTCAAACACCCTCCGTGTTTAAAAAAAAAATCAGTTGTATATAACGTAATAAAAATTGTTTTTTTCTTCAGAGCCTGGATTTAAAATAAACTGTGCAGTAAATGATTTAGATTTGATAGACTTTCAGACATGTACTGTACATGCATATGTGACTAAAGTGGTGAAAATTTAATGGATAAAAAGATGAAAAGCAAAAAAATGTAATTTACTGTACAACTTTTAAAGATAATGCAGAGATTATGATATATCAACAGTATTGATGATGGTACTATGCAGGATATTTTTACACACAAAATTTAATGAAAAATTCATATCAAATAGAAGTTTAGTTATTTATTTTGGTTTAATAATGATATACTACACTGTATTCATTCCTTTATATCTTATTTAAATAAAGGTATGATTTATGAAGCTTAGTAATTTTAAAGATTATTTTAAATACTGTAAATTTTAAAGAAATGCTAATGTTTGAACCTACCCACTTGTGGGTGCAGACAAAACTGCACCTGATTTGCCTGGGACACAAGTGAAATAGACAGCAAGGCATTAGCAGTGGCACAGCCCACCCAACAATTTTTGAGGGTGCGCCAACCCCCTTTTGTAGGCCTCACCAAAATTTGGCGAAAACTCTTTGAATACTGAATTTAGAACAGACATGATATAATGACATACTATTACTGGTTGGTAACACATTATAAGCACATTTTGTATTAGTACTATATTTGTATCCATATACAAACACACTATCAGTAAACCCAAAATTTGTGTACAAGTTGATGTTTAGTCTGCTAATGGTAAGGCTGAAATTCCACTTTACTGCATTATAGAGAAAAATAAAACTTTTTTATAAAGTATTAAACTATTTTTACTGGATCATTAGAATCATGAACTAGTTGGTACAGTATTTCATTTGTATGGTATCGAGTTGTCAACATAAAATATGTGGATGATAAATATTATATACATCCATTCTATTCAATGTTCTTGTTCCATCTGTTTACTAATTGGCTGTTACATTCATTCTGCTTCCTCCTTCATCTCCACATCGTCCTCAGCCACCACTTGCACAAGTTTCTCTGAATCCTTGAGTTCTGAAAATTTAAGACAATCAGATAGTTAGAAATTAGTTTAACTGATTGATTACAACTCATGAATGAATAAATTTATATTATTTAATTCTTTATTGATTTGTATACTGTTTTTTGATGCAGGGAGCTTGAAGTTTTCCACCCAGATTAAAGCCAATTTCATGGCCCTCCACTCACGCTTATTAACCCACTTTTCCATCCTTAAAAACCTCTCTTATTATTTAGATTTTATTAATGTTATCACCCACCCACCCTTAAAATGTCACCCACCCTTAGTTTTCTACAGCTATAACCCTGTCGATGTGAACACCAAAAATAACCCAAGTAAGTCTAAAGACTTGCTTCCAGTGGGGTTTTTGTGGTGGTGCCTAGTCTGTATATCGGTAGAAAATCCCTTACTCTTGCCCTGTACACACTGTGTGTACACAGGCCATTCTTCATGCAGGACCAACGAATTAATGTGTAGCTGCACTCTAACAAAAATTGCACTTCAGCCCTCCAGCTGAAACACGTGGAAATCAGTGGATGGAATTTGAATGGGTAGCAAAGGTTCAACAATGGATCTCCACGATTCAGTACACACACAGTGGCTACAACAAGCTATGCTGGCTAAGCTATGCTGCCTCATGGAAAACAAAACATGTTAAGCCAGGTACTACTGCCATGAGATGAATCCAACCATGCTCCTGTTAGCGCTAGATGGTGCGACGTCTACAGATTTTGGTGGCAGTCTGGATCGTCATTAACGAGTTGTACGCACGTTGTGGTATCGGCCAATGACCATAGGGAGCAGTATGTGCCTGGCTTAAATGACCTGGTATGTAGCTGCTTAACTCCAGCTTAACCCATTGTGCCATTCATTTAAGCACCTGTTTCTAAAGAATAGCATTTGGTTTACAACTTACTGGATGCTGGAGGTTTGATAATATGAATGTTTTTCTTGACTTCCTTGATATCTCTCTCCTTCCGTAGTTCCTTTCCTTTTTTGAGTCTGTAAAAGGCAGAAGTAGTTAGCGATTTAATCTTTATGATAATTGGGGACAATACTACACTATAAAGCTGAAAGAAAACTAATGAACATCTAATGAATTATGAGGGCCACTGAACACTAACATTTGGGCTTAGATGGAAGGGTCATCATATAATAAACATTTTTGTTGGTTTTCTACAGTCCAGGTAGGCTTGTAATCAAAATTTTACATGGGACGTTCTATGTCACAAGGACTTTACAAGATACCGTAAAACCTTGAATAAAAAACCATGGGTTTCTTTTTTTTTTTTTGTGAACTTTGGATGGGCTACTTTTCGAGGGTAATTTCGCGAATTAAAAGCGCTAGAAGCGGTTGGCGCATCGGTCGTGGCTTGGACTCCCAACCTTGAGGACGAGGATTCTAAACTCTCGCTGTGCAAATCACTTGTGTCCTAAGGCAAGGACGTTTGCCTCTCTCTACCCAGCAGTAAAAGTGGGAACCTGGTAGATTCGAACACAATTTTACTTTAACTACTAGCTGCAATATTATGGAATTCTCCCAGGGAGCTGAGTATGTGTTCCTCACATGTTTAATACAATAACCGGAGTAGTAATGTGAAGAGCTTAGAGGCTATATGCACGAAGCGCTATATAAGACCGACATATTATTGTTATCAAAAAAGGGGGCTTCTTTTCAAAATGCATGCTGTAAATTTTGGGAATTACTTCTAATAAATATGGCCACTGTAACATCAGTCTGTATCATGGAGTATATTAAGCAGCATTAAATCACCTAATAGTATAAAAAAAGCATGTTTTTAATTTTTTAATTTGTTTCTTTGAAATTCATGTACAGTGTATGTACTGTACTGTCTCGAAAAGAAGCCCATGAGATGAGCTTCTTCTATTCAAGGTTACAGTATCCCTAACCAGATCCTGTTGAGTCCACCCTGGTGAACAAAAACCTTGCAAAAAGCAAATACAATGGGGCCTTGGATACTGTTGCTAAGGTGTTCAAATCCACAATGTGTTAGTGGGATAACATGTGTTTGTAAAAAAACATGCATATTCCTAGCCCTGTCTTGATTGGTTAGTTGTTCAGTTTGATCCTCCTGAAAGGAAGATTGGTATGCAAATAGTAAATGTACGCACAATGCCACATTAATAATAAGCTGTACTCTGGGAGCTAGCGCTCAGATCCGCGTCGTGTTACAGGCTTCTGGGATGTCTCATTATCTTACATGGATATTAACACAGGTCACATGCTAATCCTACATGGACGCACATTCACTCGGACAGGGAACATGTGCTAAATTTTCCCTAGCATCATGGCATGCTAGGGACATGCAACATTTTTCTCTTGTGGGAATCAGGTAATAATTTAGTCTAACCTGTTGATGATGTGTTGGTCCTGTCTCCTCTTCTTAATCTCTTCAACGCGGGCCATTGCTTTAATTGTCTTCTTCCATAATTCACGATCATACTTCACAGGTACATTTCTCCTTTTCTCAAACTCAAATGAATTATCCTAAAAAGATTTTTAATAAAATAAATTAAACATCTGGTACACCATGTGAGAAAATATGATTCTGACTGAATAAAAAAAAAAAAAAAAAACACCATTAGTTTGTTGTTTTAACGTTTCTGTGAAATTACACCGACTGTCACAGGTGAGTGAGAATAGATAATTTAAATAATGCTTACAATTTTAATGTGATGCACAGTTCAAATGTTAAAGAAAGAATGTTGGAAAATATTACTTGGGCTATTATGTTTTGTATATTAATGGTTTGCTTATGTACCAACTTCTGTATATAAAACTGATGACAGTAGTTTGCCTATATATGGATGCGATATGACATTATTGTGCCCATATATGTGCAGTGCCCATGTATGTGCAATTCACACAAATCTGCTACAAAAAACTGTACTCTCAAACTTTAAGGGACTGGGGCCAAGAGGCTTATAATTTAATGGCTACCATTCCAAGGAACTGTTTTTATTACTTATGTGCATATGGGATGACACGTACAGGGGTAGCAAGTTGGAAAATTCCGGTAGATTTCCGGTGGCAGATCCAAGAATTTGAAATAGACAGGCATCAGGGAGAGACTTTTACAAATGGGAGGTCTGTGAATGAATGAATGATTATGGCAATTTTCTAGATGGATGGAAATTACACATTTATAATTCTGAGAAATTTAGGGGGGAGGGGGGAGTTTCCCCCTTGAATCTGCCACTGATCTGGCCAAAGACCTTTCGACATTAATTTTATTTTGCTGGACATTGTGATACCAAATGGCTCTGACTTCCGTGAGACAAATGGGAGGTCTGTGAATGAATGAATGATTATGGCAATTTTCTAGATGGATGGAAATTACACATTTATAATTCTGAGAAATTTAGGGGGGAAGGGGGGAGTTTCCCCCTTGAATCTGCCACTGATCTGGCCAAAGACCTTTCGACATTAATTTTATTTTGCTGGACATTGTGATACCAAACGGCTCTGACTTCCGTGAGACAATTGATAATTAAGTAGTGAAAGCATGCTAATATTGTGAATTTGAGGGAGATGGGTCACTTTCTGAGAGCTTCTTGCTTGTTTGCAGAATTGCAGGAGGCTGTCCCTGTCCCAATTTCCAGGACACTCTTGAAATTGGGAGACTTGGGACCCCTGAAAGTACATAATAAAGATACACCCTTTCTCATTTCGAAGTCCTTGGTTCAATCATCACCAAAAAACCTGCCAAAAAAAATTAACGGTCTTAAATTAATGTTGATGTTCTTACCACAGCCAGTTCTTTGCCAGTTGATTTTCGAAAAGCCTTGGTCCATCGTACCTTTCTTGGGTTACGCTTCTTTTTAAATGCTTTGTGACATTTTGATCGACAAAATCTGAAAATCTGGGGGAAGCAAAGTATAAAAAAGTTGGTGAAGAAGTGAAGACGGTATTTGCATTTGCAACATGATACTGATAGTATTAGTAAGGCTTTAGTTACTTTATATAAGTCTTTAGTTAGGTCCAATCTTGAATTTTGTTGTGTTATTTT